GGAACATCAGGGTCAAATAGTGGAGCCAGCAATGTGACAGGAGCAACAACTCCTTCAACTGGTGCTGGAATGTCTTCAACAAACATTGCAACCACATCAGGAACATCAGGGTCCAATGCTGGAACCAGCAATGTGACAGGAGCAACAGCTCCAACAATTGATGCTGGATTGTCATCAACAAATGCTGCAACCAACTCTGGTACATCAGGATCAAATTCTGGAATCAACAATGTGACAAGAACAACAATTCTTGCAACTGGTGCTGGAATGTCTTCAACAAATGCTGCACCCAACTCTGGAACATCAGGGCCAAATAGTGGATCCAGCAATGTGACAGGAGCAACAGCTCCTGTAACTGGTGCTGGAATGTCTTCAACAAACAATGCAACCACATCAGCAACATCAGGGTCAAATGTTGGAACCAGCAATGTGACTGGAGCAACAGCTCCATCAACTGCTGCTGGAATGTCTTCAACAAATGCAGAAACCACATCAGGAATATCAGGACCAAATAGTGGAGCCAGCAATGTGACAGGATCAACAACTCCTGCAACTGGTGGTGGAATGTCTTCAACAAACAATGCAACCACATCAGGAACATCAGGGTCAAATGCTGGCACGAGCAATTTGACTGGTGCAACAACTCCTGCAACTGGTACTGGAATGTCTTCAACAAATTCTGCAACCAACTCTGGAACATCAGGGCAAAATAGTGGAACCAGCAATGTGACAGGAGCAACAACTCCATCAACTGCTGCTGGAATGTCAACAAATTCTGTAATCAACTCAGGAACAGCAGGGCCAAATAGTGGAGCCAGCAATGTGACAGGAGCAAAAACTCCTGCAACTGGTGCTGGAATGTCTTCAACAAACAATGCAACCACATCAGATATAACAGGGTCAAATGCTGGAACCAGCAATGTGACAGGAGCAACATATCCTGCAACTGGTGCTGGAATGTCTTCAACAATTTCTGCAACCAACTCTGGAACATCAGGGCCAAATAGTGGAGCCAGCA